TGTTTTTTTTTTTTTGTTGTTTTTTTGGTTTGTTTTTTTTTTTTTTTTTTTTTTTTTTTAAAAACACTTTCTCAGTCTCCAACAATTAACGGCTCAGATACTTCTGCACAAAGGAAGTTGTATGACTCTGGGTGAAGCAACACACTTTTTCATATGTAAAATATATTGCACCTATTGACCACAGCAAACTGCACGTGAGGAAATTCTCCTTACGCTAATTTGTATGTCAGTCCTGCTACAGAAACAGGATAAAACAACAGCAAAGAGCTGCAGAGGATTGTGTAAGGATTGCTTCTGTCCATTGCCCTGACAGAGCGAACTGTGATCGGAAGCCCAGTGGCAGCTGGATGTCCACAGGGATTTAGCAGTAACTAGAGCAAACAAATGATGATTTGTAAAGCTGCTACTTTACATTGTACATCCTGATTGAGGAGACTCAATTTCTCTCCTGAAACACTCACACTACCTCTGCTTTTCTTGAAAATAAGTTTGTTCAAATACCAGTTTGTTTAATTTTCAGGGTGTATACAGATTGACATTGAGTTTCTTTACTTGTCCTTTTCACGTGGTCTATTACATCATGCTTCTGACACAAAAACTTTTCTTTTTCCAGCCCATCAATAATTGCTGAGGGACTGATAACAATAATTGAAGATGATACTCTAAATGGAGAAGTTATGAAGATTACAGCATCTCAAGGGATTCATTTTCAACAATACAGCCAAACACCTTTTACGTCAAAGAGATAAAAAATTGTTTTATGCTAATTATTTTTGGCTTTTCTGAAAGACAAAAAATTTTGAAAAGAGTAATTTTTGGAAAAAAAAGGTTAGTGTTGTATCTAGAGCAGTGACGGTGTTCAAACATTTGCATCCTAATAACAAAGAGATGAACAAGAAAATCTGGTGTGGGAAGAGGTTACCATCCTAGTTTGGTTCTATAAGCACTAATAATAGTATTTATTCAGTAGGATAAACACACTGCTCTGTGGATTCTTGATTATGCAGTAATAGGAGCCAGGTTTTTTTCCTTCTGATCGTTCTGATCTACGAACTCCAAGCGTATTTTGGTGGATCTGACTTACTTTGTATAATTCTTTTCACTGTCATAAGCATCTACTTATTCACATCTTGAATTCTTCAGACCAGGAATTCAGTTCAGGAATCTAGAACACAAATATACGTATAAAGGAGTTGAGAATTTACATTTTCTTATCAAATGTGAAATAGAACAAGAGGCAAAATTCTCCTTCCTCACTTATATATGCAACCGAATATGTTGCATATCACACAAGAAAGTACAGATTTTTATCTTCTTGGATTTTAGCTATTTATAAATTAGTTCAGAAATATTTTTCTTTTATAGATATATATATGAATTTTCTCTCTCTGTATATACAAGGATGAATACTTTGGCATTGACCAAAATGTCTACTTATTAAAATCTCAATTTCTCAGCCTTTAAATCTGATTTCTTGCCTTGATTAAGTAAAACCTCAATTAAATCCTAAATAATCTGGGGTTTTTTGTGTTTTATACATGTCCATTTTGGTATCACGATATATATTCTTAGATAGAGCATGTCATATAGTGGCAATGAAAATAAAAAAATTAGCTTTTTTACCTCCTAAGCACCACTGGACCTTCTGATTCCAGGTCAATCCCCAGCTACGTTTATGAAACAAACCTTGGTACTCCATGGGTTACATGCCTAAGAAAAATAAACTTTTACATGGTAATTTATGTAGGCTTATGGCATAAGAAGATTTAGCAACTCCTGGGAAAGCTGGGAAAAGTTAACATTTACCCTCCTTAGGAGTACTGACTTTAACGTCACTGATATAAGCA